AGAAATGGCAAGATTTTTTTTTTTTTTCAAGTTTTGAATATTCTCAGGCAGTGGCCTCTTGTGCTTCCGGTAAAGTTACGTTTAGGAAATGATGAAGCTTCAGGAAGCGGAAAGGTGAAGTTTTGGAATGTTGACTTTGTTATGAGCAGAGAAGCAGATATGAGTCGGGGCTTCACTCCCTGCTATGGGAATTAATTTTGAAATCGATGTTGGAAGGGCTGAATTATAGCGATGTTTCTCTTTTAAAAGTGGGGGGGCTACGTTATTCGTCTACATCATCAGCATCTTCATTATCACTTACAAAACTTCCCATTTTAAGCCACAGTCTTCCTTAGAAATTTCTGCCACGTTTGTTAAAGTAGACCATCCGGGTTGTCATATTTTGGGATTCGCAACAGTAATTCCTTTAAGGAGCACGATCATCAGCCTTGCGTCCAACACCCAACCTGGATGACTAGGTCTTTGTATTTATTTTCCCCAGTGACAGGAAGACAGAGGAGAAGAAGAAGAAGAAGAAGAGACACTACTTGGGGGGTGTAAGAAACTCTATCTACGATTTTGAAGGTTCCCAGGCAGTGCCCGCTTGTCCTTCTGGTATAGGTACAGCATATAATCGGATTTTTTTTAATATTTTTGTGACGCTGGTAAGGGTGCATTATAGTAAAATTTTTGCTAACTTTGAGAGGGGTGAAATTTTGCTGTTACCAATGGAAGGGCTGCATGTGAGGCATGAAGTGCAACGTGGGATTTGGGTACCAACTCAACATTTGCTCTAGGACCGAGGAAAACCACGGTAAATGGCCAGTTCGTCTACGTAGTATATTGAAATCAGTTCCTACCTCACAGGAAACAGATTACATCTCCGATACAAAGCACAACAGTTAATGATGTTAAGGGGAAAGTCGCTGATTATGATGACAACAATACAAACCACACAAGCACTGTGGGCAGAATACGAAATTTCAGTATTCTAAATCAGGTGGTACATATAGTATCCACTGAGCATTGATAAGTTCATATTCTGTATTCTGTTCCTGGACCCCCACCGTCGAACTTCACTAAGCCATACTGTAAATGATCAGTAATTGTTTCTGTGAACAGTGTTCTCCAGCGGAGATTCGAACAGGACGCTATTCAATAACGTGTCCGAAATATGTGGCAGTAACTTCTGTCCAGGAAACGCAGCCAACGAGAATTCTAACATGCAGAGGCCACCTGACGAACAAATCTATATGGTAGCAGGGATCTACCTCGCGTGCATGGTTTCTGCGTGTATCATCGTAGCTGTTGGAGTCGACAGTCTCAGAAGGTAAAGATTTTCTGAATTTATGACAGGCTTAGTAAATTTTGAGGTCACTAAATGCTTTCTTTGCGATTATGAATTCGTCGTTGTTCTTGGTGATGATTTATGTACAATACGATACATATGAGGAGCCGGGATAGCTCAGTCGGTATGGAGACTGACTACGGGCTGGACGAACAAGCGGTCGGAGTTCGAGTCCCGGTGGGGCAAGAATTTTCACTTCTCCATGTCGTGTAGACATGGAGACATGGGTAAGGGGGATCCTTCCTAGGGGGTAAAGCGGCCGGGTCGTGAAGCTGACCACTCACCTCCAGCTAGTGCCGAGGTCAAGAAAACGTGGGTCTATACATCCACTCCGCCATACGTCTTCATGGCGTAGTGTTTAGTTTGTTAAGCACAGGGACAGCGTCTTACTTTCATAAGCATATGTACCGATTACAAGGCCAACTCAGTGCACAGATATCCCAGCCATGGCGAATGGCTGTGTAGAGTTAAACATAACTGTTGACTCAACAATACCTGTTGCCATGCGACATTACCATTCAGTTAACTGGAAACACGAGGACTACCGTGACCGGCCGAAGCTATACAGCAACATTAAATAAAACAAAAATAAACATATAAATCAGACTATCACAAATGAAGGACAGATAAGATTTTCGAATGAAATTGGGGCTGATTTCAAGGTTGTACCTAGGAGTTGCCTGTACAAACTAAGGACAATCAGAGTGACAACAGCTGATAAGTCGGCTGCAACTGAACTGGGTGTCTGGAGGTTAAAAATCTTGAGTGTTTCCGCCACATAAATCGGCTTGACACAAACCTAAATATCTGAATTTGTCTGACTGCACGTATGCAATTCTCCAGGTACAAAGAAGGGACACGTGAAGGCAGCGGAACAGGATTATCTGGTTTCAAACTCCTGGCCATCACGCTGAAACTCCTGAAGGAACGCAACCAGCTTCTCATCATCCCAATCACAATGTTTCTGGGAGTAGATCAAGCTTTCCTTGGTGCCGACTACACAGCCGTAAGTGTCCCCCATCGACCCTGCGCACTGGCCTTCCGTTGTCGCCAAATTTTCACCGCGGTGATCCGGGTTCAATCTCATATCATTTGGGATCTATTGTGGACAAAGTGGCATAAAGGCAGGTCTTCTCAGAGTACCTCTCTTTCGCCTGCCAATTCTCTTCCACCAAATAATCCACACTCATCTATCATCCGGGGCTAGTAGCATAGGCTCAGTAAGGTGTGACGTACCATGCTGACTCAATCTCACCCCACACCTCAAACAAAAGAAAATTGCAGGCTGTAGATATGGCATGGCTTACAACAGCGCTGCATCTTAACTGACTTTACGGAGTAGAGTATTTATTAAAATGCTAAAAGTCGCCCAACTACTAAAGAAATTCCCTGTCTTTTATGGAACCCGTAGCTTCATTAATGCGTTCACAAATCCTTGTAGTTTCCTAGACAATGCTTCCGTAAAGAAAATTTATATGTTTTTGAGTCGACTGAACTTGACGAGAAGAACATCAAACTCTTCCAGTTGAAGGTGCGCAAGCAAAATAAAAAAAAAATCTCACTTTAATTCGGACATAAAATATATGGAATGACGGACTGCATACAGATATGACTTCACAGTTATACGTTCATTTTGCTTCCGAGCAAAGAAGTTCGCAAATAAAGAATTTCAGCCTACGATTAGGCGGTCGGTATGAAGAGAACTGTGTTCTGGGTTACAACGCCGTCCAGTCCGTTGAAAGTGAACCGACGTTTCGGTGGAACATATCACCTCGATTTTCAGGGTTCAAAAATATGCAGAAAAAGAAACCAACGTGAAAGAAGGTGGCAAGCTTTCGACCCTGAAAATGGAGGCGACACATTCCTCTGAAACGTCGGTTGACTTTCAACGGACTACGAGGCTTTGTATTCCAGAAGATAGAACTTTTCAGAAAGTAGCAATTGGTTCTTCTCCATTTTCAGGAGTATGTGGCTTGTGCGTGGGGGATCTCCAACATCGGCTATGTGATGATCTGTTATGGGATAACCAATTCCATATCAGCCATCGGCACTGGCTCTTTGGTCAAAATGACAGGTCGGGTTCCGGTGGTCTGCTGCGCATTTCTGTTACACCTGGGTCTCCTTATCGGTCTGCTCACATGGGCCCCCACTCCGGACGACAACATTCTGTTCTTCGTGGTCATAGGGCTATGGGGCATATGCGACGGTGTCTGGCTAGTGCAAATTAATGGTAGGTGATCATTTAATTAACGTGCATTTCTATTGTAGCGTGTAGAGCCGTTTCTAGGCAAATGCTCGGTAAAAGCTTTCCCGCTGCAACGGATACGTATGCAATAATAGTGATACTCTTGGAAACGGTGTTTTCTACCCGGTCCGGGCAAAAGGGTTATAAGGAGATCAAATGAAGGGACGTCAGCTCCAGAATAATACGCCATGAAAACTGTTAAGGGAATTGCATTAAAGCAATAAAAAGAATACTCCGTCGGTCGCTCACTCACTCATGGAGCTGAACCCTTCTTGAGAAGCCGCCAATTATGCAGCTACTCAAGAAATTCCCAGCGTTTTATGAAACCCGAAGGTTCGTTACAGTGTTCACAAAAGCCTTCCACAGGTCTATATCCTGAGCCAGATCAATCCATTCCATACCATCCCGTCATATCTCTCTAAGATCCATTTTATTACTGTCCACCCACCTACGCCTTGGTCTTCCCAGTGGTCTATTTTCAACTGGCTTTCTCACCAATATATTATATGCATTCCTGTTCTCCATAATTCGTGCTACATGCCATGCCCACCTCACCCTCCTTGACTTGATCATTCTAATTATACTTGGAGAAGAGTACAAGTTATGAAGTCACGCAAGTTATAGTCTCGCACACACACACACACACACCATAGACATGACAATATCATTGTGGTGTTAAAGAAAATACCTCAGGCCGAAATTAGAAACTGAAGATTTCCGTTGTAACGCCGTGAACTTCAGAAAAATTCGACGTTTAAGAGGAACACGTCGCCCCCACAAGCAGGGTCAAAAAATAAACCATCAGAGGAAGGCTACAAATTGAGAGAACAACGCGTGGTAAACCCAACTTGATATAGGCCAGTCCAAGCCTGAAAGGGATTCCTACCGTGAAGATGGAGGCGCTGTGTTCGTGTTAAACGTCAGGCTGTTTCCGGACTATAAGGGACTATAACAAAAATAAACCCTACTATTCAAGTCCACGCCGTGAAAACTTCAAATCTGAAATTCTTTTTTCATTTTTGTAACAGGATACTCTGTGTGTTTTCACAGCGTACTGTGGGATCCTGTTCCCATCGAGAGAGGAAGCGGCCTACAGCAACTTCAGGCTATGGGAATCTCTAGGTTACATCATTGCCTACGCTTACAGCGTGTATCTGTGTTCGGCAGTTAAGATTTACATACTGATTGCCTTGCTCATCGTTGGGATGGCCGGCTATCTCGCCGTCGAGTGGCAGGAGAAGAAGAAATTGCGGGAGAAAGCGATACAGTGATATACCAAAGCTTGTAGCCTCACTGTCCCATGGTTTCGACCATTAGAGATGAAGACGTCCTGTGTATTCGATCTACGTATTAGGTTTATCTGGAGAAAGATGGCGTAGGCTATTATACGACTTTCTCTATTATCATATGTTAAAATTTAATTAAAATATCAGGGTAATAGCTTTGCCGTTCCTCCTTCGCGGTGCATGAATACATAAACTATATATCAAGTACACAGGAGGCGGGACAGCATGGCAGAAAAATTTCAGGATGTGGCAAATTTTATAAACCTCTTTTCAGAAGGGGAGTTTGTTAAATGAAAACTAATTTTTGCTGTTATTTTGTTTTTATCGTGATCATTAAATGAAAGTTGTTTAAAAATACGATTCATAACATTACACTTGAATCATTTCTATCTAATGCCGAGGTTAAGAATATGTGGATCTGTACCTCAACTCCCCATATATCTTCATAGCGTAGTGCTTAATTTAATAAAGGGACAACTTTACCTTAACATTAACATTGTAATTTTAACTGCGAACTGCACGCGCAAATATTCCTGTCCAATTCTGTAATCTCATGCCAGCAGTGACACCTCGAATATTGCGGCAGGGTGACGTGTTTCTATTCCCGTTACTTTGAGCATTGTTTTAATTGTTATAGCATCAACGGCGGTTTTCGTCATAGCATCTCGGGATTTCGCGTTGTTGTGACGAAGTTTCGAGAATATGTAGCTGTTTCCAACTGGGGGAAGAATTTTTCTCTTGTAATGTCATTTTGGCGTGAGCTGCCCTATTCAGTAAGTAGCAGTTCCTGCTCATAATCTGCGTAATTTTCTAGTTCCAATTTAAATACGTCCTTAAATCTGAGAACTCGAAAAGATACAAATTTTATAAATCAACGACAGTTTCTCCCAACATATAATGGATGTAAAACATCGGAAATTAGAACAATTATTGTCTTTGTGGATATTATTCAGAATCTTGTCTTTAATTAAGGAGTCGAGGTAGGGTATTCGGTATAGCGACTACCTACAGGCTGGACAACCGAGGGGTCGGAGTTCGAGTCCCGGTAGGGTCAAGAACTTTTCTCTTCTACACGTCGTCCAGACCAGCTCTGGGGTCAACCTAGCATCCTATCCAATGGGTACCGGAGGCTTTTTCTCCGGGGGTAAAGCGGTCGGGACTCGAAGCTAACCACTCACCTCCAACTAGTGACAAAATAAAGAAAATGTGAATCTATACATCCACTCCCCCCATACGCTTTCCTGGCGTAATGTTTAATTAGTTAAGCACAGGGGCAACTTTACCTTTACCTGTCTTTATTTAAAACAACGTTTCGGAGACTGGACTCTGCCTCCGTCTTCAGGCAAAAAACCTATTCAATTGGGCCCAATAGATATAGCAAGTCCCTATCTCCAGACCATTGATCCGGGGCAACTGAGTAGGATTTCTTTTCTGAAGACGGAGGCAGAGATCAGTCTCCGAAACGTTGCTGTAAACAGAAACAGGACGACGAAAAATGTCCAAAAAGTCAATAATTATATTAATATACCATCGTCACGACGTTTTGGATCTTATGGAAAATGGGATCAAGAGACAAATAAAACAGTGTCACCTTCTGGATGTGACGCCGTGCAGTTTACAGAGAATCAGAATTCTGATAGGAAGTTCCTGAGGTATGTCAAAACTGAGAGGTTATTACATAAACGTCAGAACGAATATGTAATTAGTTTTTCTTTCAGTTTTCTTGAGGTGGGTTGAGGCTGAGTCCACTTGATACGTCTGCTACTAATTGGCCTATTATACCAGTCCAGGATGATAGATGATGAATGTGGAACAGTCGGTGGGATAAGAATTGACGGGGAAACCGAATTATTCGGAGAAAACTTGCCCCAGCGCCACTCTGTCCACCACAAATCCCACGCGATTTGACCTGGGATCGAACATGAGCCGCCGCGGTGGGATGCCAGCGACTAACCGCCTGAGCTATGGCGCGGCCTAATACGGAAGTAGTTGAATCAGCACTTCCGAACTGAATAAAGGGACAAAAGATACAGAGCTGAAGATACAAAGGAATTGCTAACATTCGACTGAAGATGAGAGATGCGTAAGTTATTTACCAGAACGCAAACTAAAAAGTATAATATGTGGATCGAAATCTAAGGAGATGGGGAAATCATTCATGAAGAAAATTGAGGGCAGAGAAGGCCGAGAGGATTAATCTGTGAAGCTGCTGAAAGAGGAATGCAGTAAACTGAATCCAATCATCTTCTTGTATTTGTTGGTAGCTTTCCGAAATAATCTCAGTTCTCGTCTCGCGTTCAGGGGCGTCAGTAGAATTCTTCTCACAGGGTATATCAACTTACAATTGTGTTATAAAAAGCTTCTTCCTACAAATCTAGGTGATCTTATCCCTATTGCTAGACGGTCATGGTGGTCCATTTCATCTGTCTCCTTTCACGCTCTTTCTAGGGTAAACGAAACGAAAGCTAGTGCCATTCGATATGAAAAATCGAGGGTGTTTAGGGCAGGATTTTCACAACGTAATATGTCAGCAATGGAAACGACAAATCTATGGGTCTTCAAAATTTACGCCGTTACGCATGGGTACCAGCGGAGGAGGGCGAAGACAAGCCAAACATTTGCTCCCCTCCCCCCCCCGCGCCGGGATATTTTGGGAAAAAATAACAATGTTAACAGAAAGGTTTATGCCAAATATTTACAACCAAAATCATTTTTGAAATGTTATCCTTCAGCCTTTCTAATATTATTCTTCTCTCCACACATACAATTAGAAAGGTAAAATCAAGAAAAATGAGATGGGTAGGGCACGTAACACGCATGGTGAGATGAGGAATGCATATGGGATTTTGGTAGGAAAGCCAGAAGGAAAGAGATCGTCAGAAAGATTTAGATGTAGGTGGAAGGATAATATTAGAAAAGATGTGAGAAGAAGGATGGGGTGGTATGGATTGGATTCATTTGGCACAGGATATGGACCAGTGGGGAGCGCTTGTGAACAAAGTAATGATCCTTTCGGTTCCATAAAATATTGGGAAAATCTTGAGCAGCTAAGCCTACTCAACAAGGACTGAGCTCCATGGAGTTAGTTTTTTTTATTCATCTGCCTATAGTAATCCACAGCTCTAGTGCGATCTGTAAAAATGTTCCTGAATGTCTTAAGTGTATTCATAAGAAGAAAAAATCGTCCTTGTGGCGCCCATGCCATCACGAATAGCTTATGAAAATGGGATACACCACATAAAAGTGAGGTTAGCATCAGAGTCCTTGTTACTCTCATACTTCACTTTTTGTGTCCAAATAGAATAATACGGAAGATATATGCATGTTCATCAAATATATTCCGGTCTACGTTAGTCAATGACATTTTCTACGCAATAGCCTCTTACACCAAAGTTGGTTAATCAGGCAGACAGGATTATTTTTATTTTAAGACTGAAGTGAGTAGTGCAATTACTTACCATTCTGTCACGATACCGACGCCACTCTTCTTCCATCACTCTTGAATCAAGGGCAATTCTTTCAAGATTAAGTACATCACTAGAGTATTTGATTAATTTCACTGTTTGGTTCGATCCCGGGTCTGGTCAAGTGGAATTTGTGGACAAAGGGGCAGGTTTTCTCAGAGTACTTCGGTTTCCCCTGTCAGTCTTCATTCCACCAATTGCTCCACAATCACCCTCACCTATCATCTGGGGCTGGTACAATAGGCCAGAAGTGGCCGCAGTACAATGGACTTAGTCCCACCCCACTAGTAATAAAAAAAATCATTGTTTAGAATGGTCTTATTAGGATTAGATAAATCTGAAACGCACTGATATGTTCGAAGAGTATAAGTAGACAGTTTGTGGCACGTCTCTTAAGGCCTACAACGAAATATGCCTTAAATTCAGAAACAGACACAAGTGGTAACCGTAACGTAAAACTGGTCGAAGTTGAACTTTTCACTGTTATGTATAATTAACAACACTCGCAATACGTGACATGCACAACAAATTGACGAAATGACGATGGAATTGCTGTCAGATTTCTTCAGAATAACTAAGCATACACGGAACAGTTCACTCTATTGACATTTACGTCAATATTGTTTTCCGAACTAAGTAAGCCTAAAACCCGATACACATAACCTCCACCATTAGTTATGGGCACTATCGAATGATTCCTCGTAATATCTGATACTCTGTGTGTGAAGTGCGCACAAATATGAATGGTTGGTAATCTTCACTGTCCTCAATCAACGACAGTACTCTATTTTTTTTTTTCAAATGCATGCACACTCCATTGAAAGGAATATAACAATCGAATAAATCAAACTGTAGTTCTGTAGTTTTATACGGATTTTTGTTACTTTCATGATGGCATCCAAATAAAAGCATTCCAATGATAGTATCTCAATGATATTTACAACGAACCTACTATACTACAACCACTGTTTTTTTTCTAGTAATTTCATCAGTAATTATGTTGAACATATTCCTGCAACAAACTGTTCTAATTCCAATTCCTGGCAGTAGTTTATCTGAAATTACTGATCTCAGAGATTCAGCTGCATTTCTCGATCTATATTGGTCATTAATGTGCCTTATTTGAATGCAATTTCCATTAAAATTCCACAATCATTTCCTGTTCACTTTATTGTGCATATTCAGCCTATGCATAATTGATAAGATTACTCTTTTAACATTCCTGCACAGATGCCTAGAAACCCTCCTTGTAGCACATCTTTAAATATATAAATACATATAATGTAGGCCTAAAAACACAAGGTCAGATTTACAATTGTAGAGGCCCCATCAGTAACAAATTAAGTTATGACAATTATTTTTTAATATTGTTCTTAGTTCTTGTATCTAAAAATACAAACTATTTCTTCATGACCTTAGAAAAGCAAATGTCTCAATAAAATCTGTAACTTCTCTTCCTGATTTGTGGAGGCCTCAAAGTTACCCCCCAATCACTGCTCCTTAAATCTGGCCCTGTATAAATAAATGGACCTACAAATGTGCAATGTAGCCAAATCAGCTGAGAAATTATATTTACACATGCAATTTGGCATGTATTTTATGTCAGCTGCTCCACCTTTTTATAGGAGAAATGAATTTATAAAAACCTGGCCTGTTTCTGCATATGCACAGGTTCTCACATAACCACAGATTTTACAAATAAACTTAATATCTAATATATGGGAAAACTTTTTTTCTACATGGAACTGAATATTGGGGTAACATGGTTCAAAATTGTGTTTTATAATCCCGGAGTTATGGCTCTGAACCTCAGTCCAGAGACCATTTATTCTGACAGGATTGTCTTGTGGTTTTCTTTGATCCATGAAGGTTATGGCTGGTTATAACTACTTCCATCAATTTACTTCAAATTCAACATTCACACTCACCTTACAATTACATGCCATATATAACCTATGCAGGAAAAACCTAATTAAATAACCTATCAATCATTAATATCCTGAATGACAGTTACAAGTTAAGGGCATGTTATGCTATGATAGAAATGTCATGCTTTTTTGATATAGGTGTCTTCCAATCTTTATCACCCAAACAATTCTTTTAACACACAAAAATATAGGCTAAACTCATAGATCAAAACACTGGTCAGACAAAACAATCATTAGTTAGATATTTCAGTAACAGGAAATGATCCATTAGCTTGGATGTAAAAGATGCATCCAAATTAGAAATGTATTTTGAAGCACATTTTATTTTATGTTGACAGTGTGCTCCAGACGAACGTTTTCAGTCATAGGTCCAGTGGTTGAGATCAGCTCTGTCAAACGGAGCAGCAACCTTTTTTCCTTCATACCTGATAGTGGAAGCAGAACCAGCTTCTGGAGTATGGTTCGAAAAAACTTACTAAAACCGTCAATATCCAAAACACATGTTAGTTATTGCTATACATCAGCTTCAGAAACCTCTTGATGTTACCTCATGTAAAGTTTACATTAACTGACGCTCCTCCTTTGTGTTAAAAGGGGCTCAGAAATGTCTTGCAAGAGTAATTCACCTAACATTTCTGTGCTAATAAATAGTATGTAAAAAAGATCTGAGGTTCTCACAATTGTGACTATAAGGATTACTGTTTACTGGGATGTGATGCCATGTGATGTCTGGTAAATATTTACCAAACTTTAGCAGAAATATGTTGCTTTCATCTTCTATCCTGAAGGTGAGGGGAACACATTTCTCCAAAATGTCACTAGTTCTCACATTCCCAAAGACAGTAACTTCAAAAGGATTATTCATGCTCATGGAGCATTCTGAATTCTTTCTACACTTTTAAGCATCCTGTAACCAATACAAAACGCATAATTTGGACCTGTATAAGACAAACGAGGAAAAGAGATATGTGCTTGCAAAATAAAGGATTGTGCAGTAACAGAAAAGACTGGAAAATTCTTATTCATCAAGCCACATATAAAAGGAGTGATGTTAAATGCTTTACTTCCACAACACTTATGGTTTTCAACACAGCTCAGAATGGAAGACCTGTACTAAACTCATCCCTCAACTCTGAAGATGAAGGTAACAGGTTTCTCCACAGTGCTGCAACATAACTACCACTACATGCTGTCACATTCCAAAAGACAGTGACGTTTTTCTGGGCTGATTTCATAAAGAGATTAATTAGAACTGCATACTGTTTAATATTACTTTTGGTGTAAATTAACCTAATTTTTATACTGATGATGAATTCTCTAATTATTAACATCAACTGTGTGAAATGTGAGTTCTCACTGTCCCTCATACTTAGCACATCTTATTTCTCCCTTTCCATCTCCCCCACACTACCCTTTGCATCAGCCCTTGTTAATGTTGGGCCATTTCTCTCACCCAGTGCACTGAAATAAGCTCTCTGAGGTGTTTCTTTGCTCTCTCTTTCTCCCCTCTACATCCCTTTTCCTGCTGCTAGTTGACTCAGAGTCATGATTCTTCCAAACCTTTCTATACTTGAAAAAGAAAACGTATATTCTTTCACTAATGTCCTCATTCCCATCAGCCAGTTTAAAGCCCTGGACACAGAGCTCTCTCCCCCTGCACCTGTACCATACGTTCCATGCTTCACTTACCCTTCTACCCTGATGATGGACCCAACACATTTCACTGAAATATCAGCATATATATATATATATATACAACCAACCCCAGTCACAATAAAGATAGACCAAAAACAACTGGAGAATGTGAAATGTTTTAAATATTTGGGATTTTGGAAATATTTGGAAAGATAGAGGGGTGGATAGAAGTGACCAGAAGACGAGGAAGAAGACGTAAGAAGATGCTGGATGACCTTGGGGACAGAAGAGGATACTGTCATTTGAAGGAGAAAGCTCTAGACCGCATCAAGTGGAGGAACTGTTTTGGGAGAGACAGTGGACCTGCTGTCTTCATTACAGATTACAGAGGAATGAATGAATACCAGACTCTATGGCAACACATAATAGAAGACAATAATCGAAATAACTTCTAATCTAACAATCTAATTTATAATTTTGCTGCTTAGTCTGCTAGTAAAATTACAATTTAACATGAACAATTCTCTTCTAGGATATAATGCTTTGCTTGGAACCTACTTCAAGCTGGTTTCTTGCTTGGCTTATTCATTGACTATGAAGATGGAGGTGACATATTTCTCTGAAACATCAATTACTTTACAATGTACTACAAAGCTCTATAATATAGAAGCCAGAACCCTTCATAACCAACAGTGTGGGAACCTCAAATCCGATATAATTCAAATGTTTATAATAAATACTCTTCCCAACAATCACCAGTCAGCGCAATGAACTTGCAAATGGCTGAGGCTGAAAAAATAATAAGCACTCCATCCTTGTTCCTTGTAGTTGTCATATTATGCTTTGGTACAGTGGAACCAGGGACTCTTTCCTCGAGGGTAAAGTTTCCAGGGCATGAAGGTGACCACTCACCTCCATCTAATGCCGAGGTAAAAAAAAAAAAAAGTGGATTTATACATCCACTCTCCCATATGTCTTCATGGCGTAGTGCTTAATTAGTTAAGCACGGGGAGAACTTTACCTTTTTTACTCTGTCAGTGAGGTATTCACATAACTCATATGCACTAGAATTTGTATGAACTTAAATTTCATTTCTTTTGGGAGGAGGGGGCACAGAACTGATTCTCACAGATTACTTCACTTGAACATTAGAGAATATGCTATTAGACACCATTTACAAAGGTCCTGGGCACGATTAACAAAAAGTCAGTCTGTGAAATTCCTTTACACCTCTGGTAAAGTTTAGTTTTTGGTTGCGAGGAAACCAAACCCGAGATATGGAGTACACATAAAGAGAAACACCTTCCCACACCAGTCATCACATTATCATATGCAGTATGCAAAATTTCTTTTTTAAAATCCATTTAAAGAGAGTAACATCTCTTTAATCAGTTAGGGACATACAAATGGAAAATACTAACCTATATATTCTACACAAAGTTCAGCAACAGCTTTAGGTTATCCTACCTGGTGCTTCTTGATTCCTGATCATTCTTGCAGAAATTATTACTGAAGAATATAATTGTAAATGTACACACAGGCAAATTCTTATACAGTACCAAAGGTATTTCTTTGATGCTACAAGAAATGCAACAAAAGCAGTTAATATCAACATAGAACTTTTAAATAAACAAGATTGTTTAAAGCACAGTAAAGTGTGAAACATACTTTAAAATAAAGAACTTCCATGACATACCACATAAAAATTAAAAACAACTTGGCACACCTCCAGAAAGTGGGGTGAAATATAAGTGTTCCATTTATGGAAGCTGATACATTCGAATTCAGTGCTAAAATAGCTTACTCTGATGAACCCATAATGATAATGGATTAATTTATACAATTTAGTATAGTAGGGCTAGAATGCTCTGACATAATAATTTCTACAATGAAATCTCTTAATACTTTTCTGAACAGTATCCTGCAGACTTCAGAGTTAAATTCACATGTACATGACTTACACATTCTCATTCTAATTGAGCTGAACACCATATTATTGTGGCATATTTCAATCTTAAAAATGTTAATCACTTCTATACCACATAACAGATATCTTATGAAAAAGCACTGGTCCTTGTAATATCTGACTATTTGGTGTGTGAAAATATCAGTGGAAAAAAGTATCCTAACATCTTTCAACAGCTAAAACTATTTGAGGATTTGAAGTATAAATAAAAAGCATGTCAGTAGTACTACTGAAATACAGAGACATGTAAAGGTTTCTTTCAACCTATATGGCCCCATGATACTAACAAATAGACCATATAAAGTGTGCATAATGCTTTCATATACCTTTACACCAGGTTGGGGCTTACATATCCCATTCTGAAATGAGTATATTTAATAAAATGTATGTGTGAATATTGTACACTTGAATCTAGTCAACGAAATTATCACTTTCATCCTACATATTTTAGCAGAATTCTGCTACCTGAATGATTGTTTAATCAAGTTTTGAAGTAATTAATGTTTTATATTTCATGTCTGAACTATATTAAAATATCATAAAATCATACTTCTTTATGGTATATGCTGATCAAACAATTCTTTTATTTTTTAATCTTCTAATGACCATGTAAATCAGAGTATACAGAAAGGGGTTAATATATTATTGTCTGTAATAATGATATATTTAAAATCAGCAATATAGACTGTTGTCATTATATGACATGAATACTAGTACTTTGATTGCAATCTCTTTCTTTCATCTCATAATATAACAAAAGCAAATTCTCCTGCTACTTGGTACATATAAAACAGCAAAGGAAGAGTTTTAAATTGTTTATATATGTAACATTAATAACAATAATTTGGTTTTAGATAACGAGAAGAGAGAAATTTTAATTACATATACAGATTCTAACTGAGCTCCTCATTTACATGAATATTCAAAACACTTCATGATTCTGTGTAAGAAATAAAATTGATCCAGTCTTAACATATGTAGCCAAGTAGTCACCAATTAACACATGATCACTAACTTATACAAGTGAATCATTACACTGACCAGGAGACTGGATGGGCCCCACAACCCGTCTGGATACTGTGGGAAAGAGAAGATACCCTTCCCTTGCTGGGAATTGAACCCAGATTCTCTGACCATCCAGCCCATAGACTAGTCACTATACTGACAAAAATATCCTGGTGTTACAATTTACTTTACATGCAAAGGAATTCCAAACAACTTTTACATGTTCCTCTAACTTATGAATGACATTAATGATTTCTTCACGAGCTCAGACACTTCACTGCATTGCCTAAATAAGTCAAGAATGTGAAATGTGACGAACTGGTTGAATGGTTGAATACTCTGGCAATTCAGTTTTCACATCTAATATTCTCAAAACATACATAATTACTCTTATATGATGGATCCAGTTAAACAGGTCATGGTTTCCTGGTTCCATAATTTTCATTCATGTTAATATATATGCACACATGGCAAACAAAATTCTGCAATTTATTCTTTAAGAATAAAAGTATGAATTATATTACATTAGGGTCTTCTGGGTTCTGACATCATACATATTCTTAGGCAGTATTACCCACACTCCTGGAGGAATTACATGAATTACACTAGACCATGGATTATGTCAAAAAATACAATGCCTATTCTGCTTATTGTGGTTTACATGACGGATGAACTGATATAATGGAAGAGATAAGAACACAAAAGTATTTCCAACATTTACAACTTGTATGAAAAAAAAACATGAATGTTTGACATATAAATAAATACCACTGCTTTAAGAAACTTCTTACATTTGAGATCTGAGGTTGACAAGATTAATTTCTTCAGGGATGTGATGTCATGTACTCCAGCAGATATGTACCAATGTTTCAAGGAACCTGCAGCTTCTATTTTCATTGTAGAAGAGCAAGTCACTTTTCCCCTCTCGTGACAGAGGCAGCAGGTTACTCTGAAGTGCTGGTATATACCTACCACACTACACTGTGGAAAGAGTAGTATTCAAACATCTTAAAAATCACCAATATAATTTTCTTGCATTAAATTTTTAAACCAAAGGAAATTGCTAAATCATTATGTTACTTTGATTAAGCAAGGGTGTGAATAAAATTTTTATTATGTTCTGATTTAATAGTCCTGTATTAAATTTATGTGTTTCTAATTTATTTAAACAAAACTGTTTCCTTATATGTGACCCTCTAAGAAAGTACAGCTCAATGCAGATATGAGTCTTCAGGTTCATACAGAGATATTAACAACTATATTCAATTTACCAAATATAAAAATTGCCATACTGCTTCAACACTTAAAATATAATACTTTAAAATACAATTACAAAACATTATTACAGAAGTCTATGATTATATCAGCTCATTTAGCATGTAATATTTAATTTGGTCTTACATTTTCATTTCTATAATGTTCATATTTCATCATCAGAAAGCAATACAAACAATCATGTACACATGTATATATTTTTCTGGACTTCGAAAAGACTACACCTTCATTACCAAATAACTTGACAATTATATTAGGACAAAATGCCACATATAATTAAAGGAAACTCTATTACAAATGTGATACAAAAATGTCATAATATGGCAAGTAATATTAGAAACATTTAATAAGTTTACTGAAACACTGGGACAGTGCAGGATAGCATCTGATTCCTGTTTTAATTTACATTGTATTACAAAAAAAAAATATACATGGACAAAAGAAAAGGTATAAGTAAAACAGATCTACAGTTGTTGATGTAAAAAGTGGATGAAATATCTCTTGACAAAAATGAGGTACAAATTTAAGATTATTGTCTTCTGGGATGTGACGCTGTGTGATATGGAAAAGAGGTACATACATTTCTGAAGAACCTGCCACCTCCACCTTCCCTTCTGCCTTCCTATTCTAAAGATGGAGGCTGCAGGTTCCTCCAAAACATTGTTACCTTTCTACCAGAATGCCTGGTGTTACATCCCACACAACAGCATTCTCAAATCTCATAATATCTATCACACTCCGTACAATAATCTCATTTGCCTATAAATCTCAAAATGCTATAAATAGGGTGCAGTTTAACAAAACAAAAACATATTTTATGGACATCAAAGCAACATTAACAAAATGCATTCCAAAAATGAGACAACATTTTTTGCTGGCTCTTAAATTTAGTCTTCTGTTGAGCTGTGAGCACTTTAATGGCACAATACATATCTCAAAGACACAAAGAAGACCCCAGATATTTCTGGGTCATTTCCCAACTCATCTGATATTTAAATGCTAAGTATTTTTAAAATATATACATCTGCCCCCCCCCCATTCTTAAATGTAAAAATTCAATCCCTTACATGTAAAACAATTTCTTAAGATTACAAAACCATCCTATATATAAAGCAATTGGTACCAGTACATCATTTCTCTGGAATACTTTTGTTAGATATACTTAACATAGTTATTGCTTTCATTTGCATAGTTGATCCATTACTCACATAATAAAAAATGATAATCACAATTTTGGATGTGTATGACTCATGCAAAATTTTATGAAAATGTCTGTCACAGAAAATGTTGCTATATACTTGATCTGTTCACAAACCTGAAACATTTTCTCTGAAAAACTAGGTAGCATATGTATGGAGTTAATTTCTTATATGACACAAACACCATCCCAAGTGCAACAATTTATTGTAGTTCTTTTGTCTTGCCCTCTTCTACACTACGTTTCGGCCGCAAACGGCCATCATCAGGTGTATACACTTACGTAGCTGTTACACTGCACTCAGTTTAAAATTTAAAACCACAAGTCTTCCCAATTGTTCTTTTCATCGTTACTAACAGGTTTCGATTTATTATAATCTACTTCACCGATATCTGTCTGATTTGTGCATTATCTTCGTTACCTACACTCATCAATTTTGATTATTATGAACTGGCACTTTAAAAATCTTCAGTTCTAATTTAAAAGTTCTTTTAAAAATTAAAATTCTCAGGGTTACTTGCCCTATGTCTGTAGCACTGCAGCAGCTACTTCTTGTTTTCAGCACTGCTATTCTGTGTAGGCTCCCTGTGTGCGTGCCACTGCTTATCTTTACTACGTGTCATATATCATATAGAGTGCAACAGGATGCTTAAATATAATATTACTAATTTCTTACTCTATGACCAACCTCCAAGTCAAAGACCAAGACTCTGCCTGCTCAGGGTTATTGCATGCATCAAGAGGCAGTGATGGATGAGAATGGAGCAATGGTGGAATGGTGATTAGCATGTGAAAACTGAACTCAAAGAAAAATATGCTCTGTTCTAGTTTTTCCACCAAGAACCTCACATAAAGTCAACTGGAAATGAACCTGAGCCTTCATAATGAGCAGACAGATCTAACTGCCTGAGCTATGACACTGTCTATATGGCATTAATTGTAAGAGAGAGAGAGGAAAGAAAACACATTTATTTAAACTCTTCATATTATTTATTATAATCTACTGCATTCTGTAAGAAATGATCATTATTTAAATCTCAGTTCGCATTTTAGTCATACCGATGTTTCCTTTGTGAGCATATCTCATCTGTTGATTCTAAAGGGTTCTGATGATGGTGGATGACACACAGGATTACTGTGGTTTTGGACTTTTTCCACAGTCTGGAATTCTATGTAACAGAAGACACTCTAGATAATAAGAGGACACGACATTTCGGAAACTGGATCTGTTTCCGTCTTCAGGTGAGAAAGGAAGACACCTACTCAGTTGGGCCCCTATGGAAGAGCTAATCCCAACCCAGTGATCCAGTCCAGTGATTGATATTGATGTAGTAAAACTGCATTAAATATGTTATCCTCCTGCTCACTCCCCTTGCTTGCATTTTATACCTGCTACATCTATTCTGTAATTTCTGTTCACTTACATATTTCAGAAAATTAAATATATGGGGACTGTTAGACTGTAGTGTTCTGACTTATGATAAGGTGTAGTCTTCAAAATGCTCTTTCTAAAAAGACATTCCACTTTTAATTGCAAATAACTATCTAACTACACAGCAATAATCACTGTATTCAGTGTCTCAGAGTTCAGTAGTCATGGAAAACTGACAATCACACACATATATTTTCAGTAATCGCACCAACAGTGTCCATGACCATCTGCAGCCAACATTTGAAATTTCATTCAACACTAGCTTTCCTAATGCTAATCATTGCTGCAAAAAGTGACTGTTTCAGATCTTTATTTGTGCACATTGTTTTTGTAAGTTGTATCTTTCAGAGCCAGTCACAGTAGCCGAGAAGTCTAAGGCATGTACTGCCTTTGCTTGCTCAGAAACCGAGATCTTCGGTTCGAATCCCACACAAGGCATGCATGTTTGGTTATGTGTATGTGTTTATTCTGTGTTTAGGTAGAGGCCTTGTGATGAGTTGATCACTTGTCCAAGGAGTCCTACTATCTGCAAAATGATCAAAATTGGGGGGGAGGGGGGGAACACCCTTGACACCGTAAGGTAAAAGAGGAATGTATTAAGTTAGTATCTTTCAGAAAGCCCTAAGAGGAATAACCGCAAGGGTTAAGATCTAGAGTGTATGGTGGTCACAACCTCACATGTCCAAAACCTTCAGGAAAATGATTAGACAACACTCTGTTGTCAAAATCCTCACTCAGAACAACCAACACGCCATGTGCTGAACTCGTTAAAAAAAAAGTTCCTCCAAAAGTAAAACCCTTTCCTTAGAGAAACAGAAGAAATTCTTCTTGGATAACATGGAGATACAGATCAGCGGCCACAGTACAGCTGAAAAAATTGGCCCATATTGGTTACAGAGCACAACACATTGTGAATTTTTCTGCGTGTGACATTTCAATGGAGACATGTTACACAGGTTTTCACTAAAACATACGCTGTTCTGAGTATGACATTTTGATCACTGCTTCATCATGATATTACCTCCAGGGTTACTACATTCTCCTGAGTCCACTGAACTCATGAGACACAAAATAAAGTGATATTTGGGTTCTATAGGGTTTGGATAATGGTATATAACACTTGCAAATACTGAGTTTTTGGACTTTGTCCATCACTCAGTATTATATTCTTTCATTCTGTTCTTTAGATTACCAGACAATGAACAAAGTCCAAAAACTAATAATCCACAATGATGTTTGCTATGTAGTTAGGTAATACCATGCAATTAAAACTGGAGCATCTTCTCAGAAAGTCTCTGTAAGCGGATATCATTGTTTTGGACAAACACTGACATCCACCTACAAGACTACAGTGTCACAACCCAGAAGACCACAATCTAAACAAGCACCACTAAGAAAACCACAAAATTTATATGCGGATTTGTTTTCTCGAATTCATAATGAATTTGGGGAGAATCACACAGTATTTTACACTCATGCACATACATATTCAAAATAAATTCAGTTTCCATTTCAAACATCAAACACCACCATGCTAGATTGAGACAGCTGAAAGAAATCCCATGGATAATAAGGATGCATGACAGTGCTCCAGGCTTTCCTATCTCTGCCTATTACTTCCTCACAGTCCCTTCTGGCCTATGTCAGCTAGCCCAAAGTGTCTGCCACTAGCGAACATTATCACTGCCCGCATTCACGTGAACAGAATGGTTAGACAACTCGAAGGAAATATAGAGGAACAACTTGATGGATATGTGCAAAGGCTAATCCATTGGCCTCCTTTTCATGACCTCAGCGCAAACAATCATCATCCTTAAACTTGAAATGCCAATAGTTGGTGATAAGAGACCATGATGTGAAAACATTTCATGGATTCTCTTATCTAAATAAGGCAGCTCCAATTGATGAAGCCCATTTTCTGGAATGAACACTTCAATATACTTTTTCTGACAGCCATGTTTCAGCTATTAATCAATCACTGTCTGAAGAAAATTAACCTTTTCAACCTTCATTATGTTGCAAATACTATAAAATATGATGTCCTAGTGCTCTGAAAGAATACAAACTCAAAAGAGTAGATAAAGATTAGGATACAAAGAGATAAACATATTGGGTACAGAAGATGGTGACATCAACGCTTGCTCCTAGGACTCAAATGGAACTTTCGCCCTTGATGTAATTACTGAAATATCACAAAGAGGACAGAAATACCTTGGGGATTATACAAAGCTTTGAAACATTTACAAACACAGATCTAAACAATGAAAAATTAATTTATCGCAGAATTATGTCAGAATATGCATACAGTGTTATTTAATACAGCACATAAAAAAGCTAGAAAACCCTGTAGCATAGTATCAGAGTAAACATTTCATGTTACCACAGTTTTACACGGAAGAACATTATAACTACACAGTGCATTATACTGTACTGGTGAAACATCCATTTAGTGTTCAGTTTAAGACTTTGCTCTAGTTAGGTTTCAGCATCCACAGCTCCAGATCATATTATTTTACTGTTAAATTCCTTATTTAATTCTTTCATCACTGTTATATTCCTGACAATTCTTAATTGGGGTTCTCGAAGTCTCATCATAAGTGCAAGTCGATAAAAAATGGAATGTAAAATTCAAAATTCAGATGTTCCTAACTTAGGCCTCTTCAAATTTCTTTACTTTTTGTCCTACATTACATAATTTCTTAGTAATACTAACTCAGTTTCAGATTCCCAAACATTTCAACATAATTAGTTAACATGATGAATGCACAACATGGAGATCATGATTAGTGTAAAGACACATCACTTCCATCCTTGTCCTGTGATGACAGCTCTTGCTGTTTCTTCAAACTTCTCTTGGCACTGCTGGAGCGAGGGAAGAGTTTACGAGCAGAGGAACGCATGAATAAGGGAAGCACAAGCCTGTCATATCGTCGTGACGATGCCTTGTTACTGGTCCTAGCGCTGAGGAACAAAAATTATTTTAATTCTATATACATCACACTGAAGAAACATTTTATCTAGTCTTCAACTGAAAATATTTAAGTCTGCTGACTGTGAATGGAAAAACCACTTTAAAGAATAACATTTTCTATGATTTCATATACTTAAGTTTATGAAGGTGAAACAGGTTACAAGCAAAATAAAATGAGATTTGTATTTTGTATGAAATGGTGATCATGTATGCTATGATAAATACTAATTAAAAAATAAGTTACAGAATGGTTGAAAAATGCTCAGTAATGTGCGACCAGGTGATGGCATATGATTGTGTGTGCTACAGCTGACACCAATGATCACTCCTCGTAATTCAGTCTCTGATAGTATTCAGTGTCAACCCGCCTTGGTAAAACAGTGCTTGGTTTACAATGAGCATGTCATTTGCAGGTATAGTGGCTGTTCATAACCGAACATAACTTTCATCTCGGTCATATACACTTGTTCAAGGAGAGTTTCAGGACACATATCCCAATTCTCTGTCCCACATAAGATTATAATTTCTTCTGACCTGCATTATATTAATGAAATAATCATAGTCACTTCCAAGGGAATATTCCTGCTACTGCAAATTACTGAGCTTCTTGCGCACTCACTTAATTTTACACTTCATAAAAAATTTTCTCACAAGCAGTGGCTGAAGATTCAAGAATACTGCCTTTCGGGATTTGAGACTGTGTAGCCTGGTATATGGTTTTCTTCAAAATGTCGCCACCCATCCATCAAACTACATATAGCCACATTCACCACAATAGGAACTTCAAACCTCATACAGTTAAAGGTTAATGAAATACCACTGACAAGCTGCCGCAGGTTATGAACAGCATTATTAGTACCGCAGCTTAAAATATGAACATAGGTCAGAACGCTCAAATTTGACATTCCATGGTCCAGAATGAGTTTAATCTGCCAGACGCTCACTTCCTGGCACTACATGTCCATGATTAACCACTGTTCATTTACATCTGTTAATTGTGGCATTGCATGCATACAGCTCAGATATAAGCATTTTGTTTTGTACTTTATTTCTTATTTATCCTTCAATAATGAGCTGGGATAGTGCAGTCAGTATAGTCACTGGCTACCAGCTGGACGACCAAGGGGTTGGAGTTCAAGTACCAGTAGGATCAATAATTTTCTCTTCTCCATGTCATCCAGACTGGCTCTGAGGTCCACTCAACCTCCTATCCAATGAATACTGGGGGCTATTTCCTGATGAGTAAAGCGGCAGGGGCGTGAAGCTGACGACTCACCTCCAGGTAATGCCACTGTCAAGAAAATGTGGATCTATACATCCACTCCCCAATTTGCCTTCATGGCATGGTGCTTAATTAGTTGAGCACAGGGAAAACTTTAATTTTTCTTTTTACTCATCACTAAATACAGGCTATTAATCGTCCTTGCTGCATATTAGTTTCTCACCACTTTCCCAAAACAATGTAATCTTAAGGTAAAAATAAGAAATAAAAGAAAAAAATCAATACAAATTAATTTTCGTATCCCAGTGAATGAAGCTGAATGATGCAGCGTAAGGATATGATTACACAGTAGCAGATACTTGTTTGACTTCAGTCAAATATCGCAGCAATAGGGTTAAGATATTATGGTACTATAATATACTGAACACCCATGGTTCAAAAAATCGTCTGGACCAATTCTGGTCTGATACCAAGGGTGCTGGATTTGAGGGGTCTGACCTGTCATAAAAAGAAACATCCCTGTGATTAACATGCAGATACAATGACAATAAGCAGTATCCTTAAGTGCAAACAGGTAAATGTAAAAATTACTCTGTATATTATCATCATGTTTAATTCCCAAAGCATTATAGATTAAAACATGTAAAGCAACTAGAGCTGGCAAGTGTTTTGTATAAGTACGAAATACAGACTCTTACTTTCAGGAAAGAGGAAGAATTAAAAGTGCTTAAACACAAAGTGCTCAAGAAAATATGTGGTTGACCTGATTTGGCCATCATGGTATTAGACAACAAGAAAGCAACAAATTTATGCAGATCATCTGATGCTGTCAAGACAATGAAATCAGGAGGCTAAGATGGAGAGACAACGAATGCAATATAGAATTCTGGTGGAAATTCTTCCTGAAAAATGACACTTTGAGGATGAAGAAGAGAGAGATTGACAGACTCATGAAGCTGTCCAGCAGCAGCATGTTAAAATATGAATGCAGCTAACAAGTTCTGATATTCGGTTGAGTTGGGTGTAAAGCCCAGTCTTAGCCTCACTGCATTTAATAACCAAAGGTTCAGCCTAGAAACTTCAATGTGTTCAAACACAAAACAACTTTTCCCATCAGAAGCCATTAACATGTTTTTGACTCAACTACTTGTGTTGGCAGTATGTTTAAGGCGTAATTTTCTTCAATATAAATAATAAAAAAAAGAATTAGCTCACTGCTTACATAGCATCATTTTGTCGTCCCACGGAAGCTTGTCTGTTGTTCTCCTAGACAGAAACTTGCTGTATTATAGTGAAAACATTTTGCCCTCACAGTGATTTGATGTGTTAAAAATTGATGCAACTGACCTCATGATAGTTTCAGCTACTGTAATCACCCGGTCAATGTGATTAAGCAACAAAACTAACCAATGATACATTACATGAAATATACTGTAAATGAATCTGAATTATGTTCCTTCTAAGTTTTGACTGGGCCACGCCATAGCTCAAGCGGTTAGTCGCTGGGTTCCCACCGCAGCAACCCGGGTTCGGTCCCAGGTCTGGTCAAGTGGGATTTGTGGTGGACAAAGCGACACTGGGGCAGGCTTTCTCCAAGTACTTTGGTTTCCCCTGCCAGTCTTCATTCCACCAATTGCTCCACAGTCACCCTCACCTATCATCTGGGGCTGGTACAACAGGCCAGAAGTGGCTGCAGTACAGGGGACTTAGTCCCACCCTGGCCACGCCATAGCTCAAGCGGTTAGTTGCTGGCTTCCTACCGTGGCAGCCCGGGTTCCAGCCCGGTTCTGGTCAAGTGGGATTTGTGGTGGACAAAGTGGCGCTGGGGCAGGTTTTCTCAGAGTACTTCGGTTTCCCCTGCCAATCCTCATTCCACCAATTGCTCCACAATCACTCTCACCTATCATCTGGTGCTGGTACAATAGGCCAGAAGTGGCCACAGTACAAGGGACTTAGTCCCACCCCAATAGCAATAAAAAAAAAGTTTTGATCTTGTATGAAGACTTCATTCAACCTACAGAAGTAATAAAAAAGAGTTTCACATTTTATCTCTAATCCAATCTGTAATTTTGCAAGTAAAAATTTCACAGGACAAAAATCTGTAATTATTTTACTTCTGTATTCAAATGTGTGAAAGCAAGATACAGGGTAAAAAAAAAAAAGTGGGAAGGTCCATACTGAAATGGACGGAAGATGAAGAGAATGATTCAGAGCTAAAAGTGAATAGATGGAGCCAAAAGGCAAGTACTAGAGAAGAATGAGCATCTGCTGCAAAGGAGACCAAGGTTCTTCAAGGACCACAAAGCCAAGGAGTAAGTAAATAAGTAACTAAGTAAATATATCTGCATACATAACAATGAACGCTCTGCATGATGATGTAAAGAAATATTTCATTATCGCACAGATGGGAACAAAATTTCTATAATATTGTATCATGCCTCATTGCTCTCCATTTCCAACCCAGCACACAGCATTACACACTTCACCTTCTTAGAATAGCAGTCAGTGGGTTAAATGAGAAGTGAAACTGAACACGGGTTTACCTGGACATCGTCACACCGTGACCTCACTCTCCCTTGGGATCACAAGACTGTCGATCTGAACGTGTCCTCACAAGACGTTCAGGATGGGAATATGCCAACTGGGAGAAATCCCTTACAACATCATTAAATGTGTCATCTCCTGATGAGCCCAGATCGGATGCCTTCATCTGCTCATTCAAGAGACTCAATCGCAGCCTGTATATGAAAACCAGTAACACCTTTCTCTCATACGTCCCCCACTTAAGATTGCACCATACTCTGTGCCCCATATCTCAACAGTAAAACAGATGAGATGTGGTATCATCAGATTGGAATTTGCCAAGAATGAAGAAACTGCAAAGCATTACGTTCGGTAAACATTAAAAAAATATGTCCAAATAGGTATATTATAGATTTCCTGCATTTTAAGCAAATTGTTAAGCCATGTTCATGAAGCAAATCGGAAAACAATAAGAGGTCACATACAGGTTCAGTTGCCTGATGATGGCCAGGTATAGGCAAAACACGTAGCAAAGAGGAGTAAACGAAAAATAGGGTTGCATTTGGGATAGAATTATGTATAAGTGGTACGACACACATGTTAAAACCTATAGGAAACTTTTTTAAAAGCATGAACTACCATATAATGACATATCTAAAAGGACTGATCATCTTCTTGAAACTGTTTCTCTATTTTTCTTGGTCCTGTCAGAAGTACTCTTCTGGTTTGCTTATGTCAGCTCTTTCTCAGCTCACTGCTTTACATCTTTCCTCCCTTGGTCTTATCACCTTGTTTTTGTTCTCCTCCAATGGTCACTTCTTTCATACCTTCATTTTTCCACTCTAAAAGGAATCTCACTGCTAACCATACATAACAGACCCATGCAACTTTATTCTCAAATTGTTCAATTTTGTAGAATTTGAGGTTCTCATAGCAGTGGTTGTGAAGAGTTCTATCTTCTGGGACACAATGCCATGTAGTCCGTTGAAAATTAACCAACGTTTTGGAAGAATATGTCCCCTCCATCTTCAGGATGCAGGCAAGATGTTCCTCCAAAATGCCAGCTTACTTCCAAAAGAATACGCAGCATTGCATAATAGAAGATAGAACTCTTGTTCAACTCTTCTTGTTGTACTTCTGTCTGTACACAATGTCTATGTTCCAGTCCTGGATCTCACACTTCTTGTTTCTTTCTTAGTACTCTGCTGAAACTTCTCCAATGGTTGTAATTTGCATACATCTCTCTTACTTCACACCCTGGTTTCGCCCACACAAGACATGTCATAACTTTAACTCTATCTGAAACTTCCAAATTGCAACTCCTATTTGTAACAGTATGACCAAGTTTCATGATTCTATAAATTATTCCTGTAATTTTGTCTTTAATTCTCTTATATTATGTGTAGTTTAAATGATGCTGTCAGTAACTCAGACAACACATTGTCAAATGACTGGATGACAGCGAATAATGAACTGAAAAGAATGTGGAAGGAAGTGATGATGGCCTAATTTGAGGCATTACCATGTATTCACCTGTAGGGACTGAGAAAAAAACCCTCAGTCAGGATAGTCAAGTGTCCCAGACAAAATTTCAACTAGGTACCTCCAAACACACATCACAAGCATTACTGCTTGAGTCAACTTCCTCAGTTTGAATTATCTTTGTCCATGAAAGTTGATTAACAAAATAAGAAATTAAGGAATATGGGATAAAAAGAAGTAAGGAAAATGCTCTTTTACTTTAAAAATTAAACACAGTGTGACCTCTGGCCTTTTACACACATTGATGAAAACAATACACCATTTACAAATTACATTTTGCTACTACCACAAGAAAAAAACAGATCACTACAAACAAAAGTACAACAAGAGAATGGTGCACTCTTTTAATAACAAAATGATACACTCGTACTTTTCCAGAGTACCACACACATTCACTCCTTGATAAAGGAAAACACACAACAAACCCAATTAATCTGCTATAAAGAAAAGCACTTACAATGTCACAATATCTGCATTGACATCATGGACTGCTATATCTATAGGCTTTACCCCGCCAGAGTCCTTGAGGTGCTGATTGGCCCTGTGTTTCAACAGCAGACATACTTGTGCAGTGTGACCTATAAGAAGACACACCTGTAAGTATTTCCCATACAACAAAAAGTTCAAAGCTACTAGAATTACAGAGGAGATCAAGTAACACATACTCGTACATGAACATCTGAACAAAAGTTAATGATACTATGGTTAAGAGACAAATTTACTTCTTTGGGAAATTAAATTAATTCAGAAGCAAAAATCATATGAGAGATCAAAATATGAATACAAAACAATTCCAAATTGTATCAAATTACAAGAGGAGTCTCATGGAACACAGAGAACACAAAAACAATGATCTATAAGGAATATTTAAATTTTTCCACCATTTAACAAAAATAAAATGGATCAACACAAACAGAAACAAAAGCAAAGGTTCAAACAACAGATAAGAATTTGCTTATATATTGAGGGGGAAAACAAGAAAGGACAGGATTATAAATGACAAATTTTAAAGACGAAATTGCAATCCAAAATTTGTTCAGAGGATTGGAAAACAAATGACTACAATAGTGCGGCCATAAAAAAAGAATGGATATAAAAAGGGTACTGAGAAGGGGAAATCAATATTCATTCATCAGTAATCTGTCAGACGACAGGTCCACAGCCTCTTCCAAAACTGAAAATTTAAAAGTCAAGGGACATATTAACACCGCTCTTTTCCAACCCGCCTTTGCTTGTATCGGCGCAGTCGGAATGGTGCTATCCCTGCTACACCTGTTTCTACCTTAGGACAGTGTATGATGGCCACTGCAAGTTGTTCTCACAGATCAAACTAAGGAAGATCGGTATAGGTACGGGAAACTAGCTGGGTCGGTTTGCATGAGTCTCAGGGTAGCGATGCCGAAGAAAGCGTTTTTCTGAGAGTTGAGCCAATTGACGTTTATTCACCTGCTAATTCACCACACTGTTAAATTAATGTATTCTTAGCTTTAAGTTACAGCGTTACACTATCGGCTAGCTATGTCCCGGAGCGTGCAAGGGTCACGTCCGTTCAGATCGGAATATTGTGAAAGTCTCTCCCTTTGTGGAATGGCTTGCACCCCCACGCCGGGAATTCGAAAGATGGTGTTGACATATACATTTTCATCCCATCTTCCGTAGGAAGCTTGAACGAGGCAACCCAATCATACTGGCCCTCATTCACAGGCAATTGTAACCAGCTCTGACCTGTCCTTTTAGGCGCGTCCGGTTCCCTGTACCCGAGCTAAATTTATGACTGATCGTAAATGTCATAACTCCGGACTTCTTGTTTCTGCCAGAATCTAGAAATTTCAACATAAACACCGTATTGCAAGTCTCAGACAATGAAATACGATATTAAAGATCACAATACATTTCCAGTAATATCGAAACATAAGACTTTTGAAATTTAAATTACCGAGAATTAATTAGAAATAAATTTCATGGTCATCTATAATCATCAAAATAAATAAGGGCTCAGAATGATCAGCGTCAATATGGAACAACTCAGAACAATATTATTCCACCAAGTTGTGTGTTAGAAGACATTAAGAAGAGAAAAGAAGCTGGCAATAAATGAAAAAGGGAAATTATTGGAAGACTGAAGAGTCTGGGAATTTCTTGTCAACCAACCGGCATAAAACTTATAGGGTGCCCGAAAAATTAGAGCAAGAGTGAAAAGAAAAAGAGGAAAAGAAGAAGAATTAAATTCTGTGACCAATCTGCACCATCCTCAGAACACAATGATATTTTATATTTTTTATTTTTTTTTCTTGCTAGTTAGGTGGGACTAAGTCCCTTGTACTGTGGCCACATCTGGCCTATTGTACCAGCCCCAGATGATAGGGGAGGGTGATTGTGGAGCAACTGGTGGAATGAAGATTGGCAGGGGAAACTGAAGTACTCGGAGAAAACCTTCCCCAGCACCACTTTATCCACCACAAATCCCACTTGCCCAGACATGGGATCAAACCTGGGCCGCCACGGCAGAAAGCCAGCGACTAACCGCTTGAGCTATGGTGCAGCCTTCAACACGATGATTACAGTAATTAGAAATTACAAGAGTACAAGAAATATTCAACATGAAAAGAAAGTAAGAGTAAAGTCATCCCTAGGCTTAGTTAATTAACCCCTCGCACTGGTACCCCAAGGACATACTTGTAAGCCTGTGAGATACCCTAAAAGCAGCAGTCCAAGTATGTCCTCACCAACTGCAAGTTCATGGAAGAATTGTCATTGGTCTGATCTCCAAAGATTGTAGTTTTCAATATTCTTCTGATTGGCTGATTTCATAAGAGTTACAAGGAATGTTTTGCGACCTTCAAACCAGCCATTTTGTGGCTTCAAAATGGTGCTGTCTAGTACATGTCACCTGGAAATGAATGATATATTCTGCAACTTGAAAGTTTAGAATATATGTAATGTCTCTTGAAAATATTATAAAATTCACTTCAGTATTTCTAANTATGTATAGCGAGTTTATTCCTTTGCTCGTCTTACACACTTTACAGACATTTACACTTGCAGTGTCACAATCACTGCTTACAATAACTCGGCGATGCTGGACTATCTCTTCTGGCGGTTATCCCAGACTGACTTCTTAGATGGCTACTCCGAGTCTTTCTTCTCCGAAGGCTGATCCGAGACTTTCTTCTCCGAAGGCTTGATCACGGCTGGCTTCTTAGACGGCTCGATGAAGACTGAAGACTTCTCGTCGAAACTGGGCTTTTATAACCTTGGCCACTGCTAGGCAAATGAATCTTCTGTTATAGCCGTGGAAACGTCGCTTTGTTGGCTCCGCGTTTCCTACGCAATAACCCATTGTTATTGCGTTGTCTCCGTGGGAACACTTCGCGTATTGGTCGTAACCGTGGAGATTTGATGTTCTCGATACAACAGCTCACTGTTGGAATTACAGTATCGCTATTGTTACTTCTTATGCAACGGTCTATTCTAGCGTTTCCATAGAAGTTACTCTTCTGGGCTGCCGACACGTTACAATATATTCTGCAACTTGAAAGTTTAGAATATATGTAATGTATCTTGAAAATATTATAAAATTCACTTCTGTAATTTCTAAATTATATAATAGTGAAACATGTTGTGAGAAATATCTGGTACAGGGCTATTCAAATACTGCTGCAACATACAACTATTAGGGGTGTAAATACTGGCTTAAGAGGTCAAGCACCACACCATGAAGACATATGAAAGAGCGAAAGTACAGCTCCACTATTCTTAACCATAACACCAGATGGAGGTGAGAGGTCAGCTTCACACCTCAACCAATGTAGTCAAGGAAACAGCCCCACTGCATAAGAGGGTGGGTGGGCCCCAGCATCAATCTGTTTAGAGAAGAGCAAAATTTCTTGCCCTGACATGGGAACAAACCCCAACTCATTACTTGTCTAGCCCATGGCCTATTCACGATACTTTCTAAGTTATAACTCATGTAAAATGAAATAAAATATATTCTTACCCAATTCTGTGGCTAAATGAAGAGGCGTCTTCCCATCTGCATCCTGAGCATTTATTTTGGCACCATTTAAAAGAAGAAATTCTACAGCCATTACAGAACCCTGCAAAAACATCAATTTTAGAATAAAACCAATAAATACCCATACTGACAAACACCAGTGTATAAGAATTTGGCCATTAGGGTGACCTCCACAAGGATCAACTGAAGCCACAAACCGACTATGAATGCACGTATCATTGTGCTCTCATTTTTGTGTTCCCTTGTGCTGACATTTAAAGCTTAACCTCTTGCACACCACAAGCTAAGTAGATCAATTCAATATACCTGTATTAAAAATACTATAGCCAAACAGAATGGCTTGATGTTTATCACTTAATACAGCATTTCTGTCAACATATGGCATCAAGTAAAGCGCAGCCGGCACATAAGGCTGACAACCTTGCCGCCATCTGTGAGCCGACTGTCTAGATAATGTGGGAGCCTCAACGTCTCACAACCCCATGGGCCTCCACAGCCTGTTACAGGGATAGCTTTACTTTTACTTTTTTACATGGCATCAAGTGTGATACACAGAGGTTTAGAGGAAGGAAGAAGTTTTCTTGCTATCACTTTTTTTCCCAATGGCTCTACAGCCCCCTTGGGCCCTGGCATCTGATTTTCAGTTTCATGATCATTTTACAGGTGGCAGGACTCCTTGATCAAGTGATCAGTTCGTTGCAAGGCCTCTACGTAAGCACAGGGCAACACAAAAGCAGAATAAACACATACACATACCAAACATCCATGCCTTGTGTGGGATTCGAACCCATGATCCCAGCTTCCGAGCGAGTGGAGACAGTACATGCGTTAGACCACTCGGCTACTATGACCAGCCCTTGCTATCAATACCTGTGGTCATTTAAAGATAATATGAGGAAGGACTGTGACATTTTCAGTGCAACCACACAAACCACCAGCAGCCTTGGTGTTTCTAGTATGTACGTGCCGCAATCCAAAGTTCCCGAAATATATTAATAANTTTTTTTTCCCACTGGCTCTACAGCCCCGTTGGGCCCTGGCATCTGATTTTCAGTTTCATGGTCATTTTACAGATGGTAGGACTCCTTGATCGAGTGATCAGTTCGTTGCAAGGCCTCTACGTAAGCACAGGACAACACAAAAGCAGAATAAACACATACCAAACATCAATGCCTTGTGTGGGATTCGAACCCATGATCCCAGCTTCCGAGCGAGTGAAGACAGTACATGCCTTAGACCGCTTGGCTACTATGACCAGCCCTTGCTATCAATACCTGTGGTCATTTAAAGATAGTATGAGGAAGGACTGTGACATTTTCAGTGCAACCACACAAACCACCAGCAGCCTTGGTGTTTCTAGTATGTACGTGGTGCAATCCAAAAGTTCCCGAAATATATTAATAAAAACTATTACGTCTTATCTGGATCTTATTCTGCACCATCACCTTCAAAGTAGTCCGCATGGGAGCGCATACATTTCGGGAACTTTTGGATTGCACCACGTAGTTCTATAGTGAGGCTTGGCAGTCAAATGGTTAAGGTTATGGTGACACTGTAAATTAACAGTTGTTTGTTTCTGTGGGTTAGTTAATGATGCTATCAGTAAAGCACCCATCAGATTACATTATCCTTTCCTGCAGGAAGGTAGAAACAGAACCAGGTTCTGAAATATTTTATTATAAAACCAGGATGATGGATAACATTCAAGACATCAGAATTAAATATCAACATGTATCAGATGAGGACGATGCCCTTAGTCGAAGGGGATTTCACCGTTTATCTCTTTACCCTCTGAAGAACGACATTCATATAAATAATATGAGTATACACAAACATAGTTCCTACCTCACAGGAAACATACTGCATTTCCATTGCAAGGACCAATAGGTTAATGCTGTTTGGAGAAACAGCCCTTCTTTATTGTCACAATCATTCAAAACGCATAAATACAGTGTGTGGAAGAAATGCAGAGTTCTTTTATGTTAAAGCAGGCGGTGCAGATAGAGGCAACTGCACTTTTAAGTGTTAGACTCCAACTTACCCATTTCTATAGCTTTCCCATATTATGATACTGCAGGTAACATGATATAACTTACTTAAATTTAACCCTCTATAAGACTTACAGTCAAATAACTGAATGTCACAAGTTGGAATGAGTAGTCAGCTTCACTCCCCGGTCACTTTTACTCCCCCTCCCCCCTTTCTGGGGAAAGAACCCCCAGTACCTATTGGGTAGGAGGATGGGTGGGCCCTAGAAGATGTATGAGGGAGTGGAGACAGAGCTCCATCAGCAACTCAGGGCAGCTATTATTAGCTACTCCAAAACGATTCAGCTGTCTGCAGTTACTTACACTGATGATGGCCTGATGGATGGGACTGCGAGATCTGTCTTCTGGATTGTTCCAAAGTTTGTCAGCTCCCAAAGCAAATGCCTCACACATGACAGGCAAGTTATGAGCTGCTGCAGCTTCGAGATATCTTCCTCACCTGTCAATACAACACAGCTTCTAAAGAACAGTTAGGCCAATCAGTTAAAACAGTTTTACTGGCTGTTTCACACAAACTGAAGACATTCAAGAACAAATTAAATGGTAAATCTGTTGTATAGTTTANTGGTAAAGCTGTCGCATAGTTTAATTCAGCACAAATCATGAAGAAGTATAGGGGAGTGGAGGTATAATACCACACATTCTTAATCTCGGCACTAGATGGAGGTAGGTGGTCAGATCTGCGCACATGCTGTTTCATCCCAGGGAAAGGGTCCCTGATAACCACAGGGGCACAAGAGCCAACATGGACACTGTGGGGAAGTTTCTTTTTTGCACTGCTGGACTCTGAACCCCAGTTCCTCNCGCTGCAGCTTTATATAGCAGCAGATCTGGATGCAGCTTCGAGATATCTTCCTCACCTGTCAATACAACACAGCTTCTAAAGAACAGTTAGGCCAATCAGTTAAAACAGTTTTACTGGCTGTTTCACACAAACTGAAGACATTCAAGAACAAATTAAATGGTAAATCTGTTGTATAGTTTAATTCGGCACAAATCATGAAGAAGTATAGGGGAGTGGAGGTATAATACCACACATTCTTAATCTCGGCACTAGATGGAGGTAGGTGGTCAGATCTGCGCACATGCTGTTTCATCCCAGGGAAAGGGTCCCTGATAACCACAGGGGCACAAGAGCCAACATGGACACTGTGGGGAAGAGTGTTTTTGCACTGCTGAACTCTGAACCCCAGTTCCTATGTAATCCAATCCATAGCCCAGTTTCTAAACTGAACGAGCTATCCTGGTTCCTTGAGACGTGATATAATAGGAAGATGTGGAAAATTACATTATCTGGAGCTTATGAATTCATATACGAGAGAACTTCAATAGGTAAGACCAAAGCGAATGGATATTTAATAAGACTGGACGCAACCTTAACAAACTAGTACAGCATGTAGAGGCTTGCCTGCAGTTACAGTCTTCACAGAGTGGGGTGAAGAAGGCACCCAAAACAGTGTGCTGCATAAAGGTAGTTTTGAACCCTATCTTTGGCACAGACAGCCAGCGGTTTAATCATAGATGACTTGGT